TCTGTTGTTGTCAGTAAAGCTCCATGCATTTGGGAGTATGTACATTCTTGGAATCAAAATTAGCATATTTTACAAAGTGATAACCCTACTTATGCTGCTGCTTTAAAATAAACATTAATTGCCAGCCTACATGATGATCTGCAGGCTTGGCTCCACAGCAGTTCCCTAGAACTCCCTTCTTTTATATTTTGCTTTTAGTCAGGTTGTTATATTTATGGTTGTTTCGTGCTTTGAACAGATTGTCAAAATTAATTTTCCTTTATGGTAAGTTGGGTAGTAAAGTCATCTTAATTTTTACAGCAGACCAGTGTTAAATTCTTCACTTTATTTATAAAATCAATCAATACCGTAGGTTTTTGAAAATGATTCAAATGTATAACAAAATGAAAATTTAATTTTTATTTCTGTTTGCTTCATATAGATTAAAGCCACCTGTTAATTCTGCAATCAGCAAACTGTTGAAAAACATGCCTAAATATAACAATTTTTTGTACCTTTCTGTGTGACTTGAATCAGAAATGGCAGTAACTCCAGAAAGAACTTCTGGAGGGAAAAGATATTATTAGTAAAATACAGAAAACAGCTTTTGGACATGAGTGAATATTAATGTTTGAATTTCTGATATGTACTTGGTTTCACTAGCTCTGCCACTTCTATTTCCTGTTGCAGTTTTGGTTTGTTTGTAATTTTGGAGACAGGTTTCTCTTGTACAGTATAATAAACTGAGCTGAAAACTACTGTATTTTTTAAAAACTTGCATTTTGATGGCTGCCCACTGCAGATCTCCAGATCTCTTGATACTTGATTACTGTTCTGTCTCTCCATCAGCCTGGCTGCACAGTCAGTGCCTTGCATAGGCTGGCAGGTAGAAACAGGCAGAAAAAATTTACTAATCTCCTTGTGGGTAATTCGCAATAAAAGGAGGTAGAGAGAGAGAAATATTAGAAGAGGAAGAGAGATTGTGATGCATTTGATTTTTTGGCACACAGGAAAAAAATTGCTAGCAGCTTAATGGCATTGTGCACTGACTCCTTTGTACATTTGTGTGTTTAGCCAGTTACAGTAGCAGTAATTCAAGAACTATTGTCTTGCTGTTGTATAAACACTTCAGATGTTTGCTTGGCATCACCAGTTCTGGAGATGTAGAAAATGGAGAACTGTGTAGACATTGTGTTTCACATAAAAGCAAAATATTTGCTATAGATAAAGCTACCTAGTAAGGAAATTATAAACCACATCCCAAAGAGGGTACCATCACGAAGCTTAGTTTAGAAACATGAATACATGCCAAGTATCGTTATGTATATTTGAAGTGAGAAAGAAATCCTGGAAGGTACCTATTTCATTCTGCTGTTGTGCTTGAATAAATTTTTGTGATGTTCAGATTTGAATGGTGGATAAGAATTGCTTCTGTCTCCTGAGTGCCTTGTGCATTCTGTAATTGTCTTGATTTTCATTAGCTGCTGAGCCTTTGCCACTTGGCACCTGGCCCTGTTGTGGGCCTGCCTGCTACAGCACAGTTCCAGCTAGGCAATCAAAAGTTAGAGTGCTGAGAACTATTTCTCACTTCAATTTTAACATCTTAGGTGTGGAGACAATGATACAACGATCATTTTCTCCTAATAGAGGTGTCACAGAATGTCTGCTGTAGAGTTACTCTCCTGTTACCTCATAGTTATCCCAAAGCAGGAGATGGGCTTATTCCGCTTTGCTGTGAGTGTTCATGTATCTTTAGCCTGGTGAGGAATGCTGTGGAAGTGCCTATGAATAAATAGACAACATGGTTCACCCAATGCAAATGTGTTTTTAATGCATTATATATGGTAAAAATAGCAAAGAGGTTCAAATGTCTCATGTCTGTATTTAAAAGGAAAAAGCTACTCCTCAAACATTGGCATGAGGCCTATTGCAAGAATGGGCTCTCAGTAGATATCCACACTTTTGCATCAGCCTTTGTGCAGTGCAAGGCATAGAGGTGCTGGAGGAGGCCATGAGCATGGTTTAAGGACATAATGAGCAGTCATATGGAATATGACCTAAATACATACCCACTGTTAAAATTAATGCACCAATTTATTAATTTAAGTTCCTTTTGTTAATTAGTGGCAATCATGTTGAATTAGGTAGCTCCTGACAAAAGGAATTTCAAAAGACAACTATTATAGCTTTAAAAAAAGACAGGTTAGCATCTTTGATTTTTTTCTGTTAGAAACAAACAGGAAATCTTAGAAACTTTTGAAAGTTATGGTAAATACCTTCTGTACAGGAGATTAATTTTTAGGGGTTACATGAACCAAATCAGCTGGATATGCCTGTGTGGTCACAGGAGGACAAATCCTCTCATCTGGCATCCAGAAAGTATTGTTGTAGGTGTTCAGTATTTTCAAAACAAGTTTTCACTCTGTCAAAACAAGTTTCAACAAGAACACAAAAATACAAAGGCACACTACATATGTATGTATGATCCATGCAAAAATACATTGTACTTCAGAAAATGAATAATCAAGTGACGTTGATAAAGCCTGGAGAAGCTCTTTTATAATTCTAATATGTCTATAGTGTTGAAATAGTTTCTATAACAAGATTTTATTGCAAAGTGTCAGCATAAAAATACTAGTCTGAAAGGAATAGGTCAAAAACCTCAAGAAGCCTCAGTCTATCCTTCACTCTGACCTATACCCTTCTTAATTCTATTTTCACCAAATTTAATTGAAAGTGGGGAGAACATTGCTGTTCTAGCTAATTTATGAAAATCAGACATCTATAGAGTTGACGTTGTTCTATCAGGATTCAGTGGATTTGAAGAAACTTGTAAATGTCTTGAAGGAGTTCTCCTAGGGTACAGCAGGAAAGAAATATGGGATGCAAAATGATGTAATTCCTTTAAAAGAAGTTGACAGTAGTTGGGACAAATGCCTGGGATTCTTGGTTGTATCTCATATAGCTGGACAGGATACAATTCAGCCCTTACCTCAGGCCCAGGATTATTCAAACAAACTCAATTTGCCTGCTGGACAATTCAAACAATAGGGAACTACTGAGGAGAATGGGGTATTAAATACAGACCTTACTCCAGAAGACTTGGAAGGATTAAGTGGAACTATTCAGAGATCACCATGACTACTGGAGTGCCTGTCCAAGTCAAGTCTATTAATTTTAAAAAGTTTTAGAAAAGAACTCATACATATTATATGTGCCTTGCCTAGAATAGGAGAAAATGGATGTATTTGTCAAATACACTGGCTACTGTGATTCTGAATACACTACGGGTCAATAATTAAGGCAGATATTTACAGAATTAAACCACATTTACAGTACTTACTAAAATATTTTACAAGAATTAACTAAAATATTGAAATAATGGGTAGCATTTAAGAATAAAGTTTGCTCTCAAAGCCAGTAGTAGGAAAAAAAACCCAAATGCAAGTCTGCCTTGAGATGAGAAGGAACACAATAAATGTGCCTGATGCAGTGAGAGAAGGCCTCTATGTCTTTGTGAAAAGATGAAGATTGTGCCTCAAGAGCTTTAATTTTCCAATAAGGACATTGTGCTGGTAGCAGAAGTGTTGCTGTACTACTAAGTCCGTTCTTGATGTGGACCATCATGATGATTTCATCCCCTTAATTTTCCTCAAATTGTCTCTTGATGCAAAAAGCACTTGAAAGTCCCACATCTTGAGCTGAAACAAGTAACAAAAATGAGTGCAAATAGGGCTAGCATGGGTGAATTTGAGATCAGCATGCTGGAAATCTTGGCAGTTATAAACTGAGTGGTTTAAGGGGAAGATATTTTGTGAATTACTTGGGAAGATGATTCATCACCCCATGATGATTGTTCTTGTCCCAGACATAAAAAGCAGAAATCTCATTGATACAACGTGTTGTATGCTTTTTTCCTCACAGAGTTTGAGTCTTGATCTTCTGCTCTGAATGATCACATGAAGATTTTAAGAGAAATAGAAACACCTAAACAACCTTTTTCACTTTATTACACCCGCAGGAGTAACTAGAACACAATTGTATAGCTGGCTATAGTACCAGTCCAGCAAAAGCAACAGCAGAAATCCAGTGTGTTGGTGTTAGAATGCTTTCACCATAAATATATGGGAAGTGTTGTTTGATGGGAGATTGCAGCTACATAATTTTAAATCTTTGCAGATTTTTAGCATAGATATATGAAGGCAAAAGGTATTATCAAGCAGTCAATGCAGGTATTCTACCAACTGCATTTTAAAAACCCAGCACTAAGTTACCCTGGGAAAAAAAAAAAAAAAAAAAAAAAAAACAAACAAAAAAAACCAGTACAATTAGAATGAAATTTCTCACAAAAGCATGTGAATTCTGAGTGAAGTATGTTTTAAGCACAGCAAACCCCCACCCTGGGATTTAGACATGTATGGGCTTCTGGAGACCTTGTACCACACTCAGTGTTTCATATCACTGGAAATATGTAAACAGCAGGTGAGCCAATTCTACCTTCTTTTAAATACTTACCACTTGCAATTATAGCAAGACTTTCTTTCCACTGGATAATAAAGTGAAGGAAAGAGAAGTGCTTTACTCTCAACAGATGTCCTTGAGCATAGCACCTGGAATTCATTGTACTGTGTCAAGTATATATAGTGGTTAACTACAGTAAAATGTGTTGTTTTCTGGAGTGATGAAGAAAAATTTCCATAGAAACCTCATAACTTACTACCTTGAACTTGGAAAATGACCATTTGAGGGAACAAAAACGAATAGACAAAAAACAATGGAGTCTTATAAGAAGCTCAACAAAGAGTTATGTGCCCGTAAGTGTATGAAGATTGGCACCCACTCTAGGCTGAAAAGAAAGCAACTCTTTAAACACTGTTTAAGCTGGAATCTAAACCATTGTGAGAAGGATGCAACACTCAACATGTGTTTTATCTTCTTTACATGAGTGTTGATTGTACTCAACACTCACATGAAGAATATCTGTGTACTTTGTACAAATGAGTTTCTCTCTGTACTTACAGGAGAATTTATGCAGGTCTTCTGAGCTTGGTATAAGGTCAGTGTGATACAGACCCACCAGGAACATGGTAGATGAAAGCCAGAGAAAGAAGGATCTCCATCTTTCCCAGAAAGGAGAAAGGCATTGATCAAAAGCAGATTTTTGCCATTTGACAGAGCCCCGAGAGACCATAGGTCAAGTTAGCTTTCTTCATCTTCAGTGTAATTCAACAGGTACCTAAATTACTGTTGTTGGGTTTTTTAAATAACAGTTTTTCACAGTTGAAAAGCATATCTAGTGTATATAAAAACAAAAATTTCAAAGTAGTTTGGAGATAACTTGAGAGTATCATGTGGCAAAGTTTCTGAAAAAAAACCCAAAAACTTTCAGATACTTTTATATGAACCCTTATGGTATAGGCCGGATCATAGTTATTGAGGGTGTAAAATAAATGTGTTAATATGAATAGAGTATGAGGAATGTATCTTTTTCCAAAGTTCATATTCATGTTCGTTGTTTCTCTGTGCCTGTATGTACAGGATGCTGGAGCATGAGTCTTGTCTCTTGATTTAAAAACATTGCATGTAAAAGATGCCTTTACCATGTAGTCTATAGCAGACTATTGTCCTTCAAAAAAATTTTAAATTTCTCTCAGAATTATTTCATGTCATCTGTTGTGACATAATAGTTTGTGTCATTGTCCTATTTGGGCAGAAACGTGTGCATTTTGACTTCAATGCCAGATGGTCGATAGATGAAACTTACTCAGAAGGTGATTGCTGCTTCTTTTCCTCCTTATTGGTGATTTCTGCAGAGATTGTTGTAATTAAAATGTTGTCATTTCCATTTCACAGGAAATTCAGATATTGTAACACATGATTTTGTCCCAAACTTTGAATGAAAAGAAAAAATTGAGAAAAAAAATTCCAGTGTTCATTTCACTTACCTTCTCCTACTTCTCCATCTTTCCTCCTCAATCTACTAAATATGCTGTAGCTCAGCCTGTCCTATCAGGTATACTGGGTTTTTGGATCTCATAGCAGGGCCTTTTTTGGTTTGGTTTGGGGAGGTTAAGGGAGCAGTGTTAATTTATTTTTTTGTGGTACGTATGATGAACCATAATTATCTCTGATTTTGTTTCATCTGAGATACTTAAGTTATATGTGAGAGGGACAGAAATGACTGTCCTATTTCTGGAACAGAACCTGAGTACATTTGTGGTACTGCATTTGCTTCAGATTGGAGAAGACCAAAATGATATGGGCAACTTTAAGTATGTACTTTAAGGTATAAAAAGAAAAAAAAAGTAGACATTTAAAATTATGAAGTACTAAAGGAATGTTTGTAGTGTATGGAACATTGCCAAGAGATTCATATGAACTACCAGTGTGAAATAACATCCTCTTTGAAAGAGTACATCTGATCAGAATGTAGGGAGGTGTTAGACTTAGTTTTGCAGCAAAGGATGCAAGCTCTCCTGCAGGAATCAGTGAAAAGAAAGGATGCAAGTGTAGATAAAGTTGGTGTGGGAGGATGTTTGTGGTATCATAAGCATTCATTCTGGAATTTACCTAACAGAAAAGGCATATATAATTACTGCATATAATGCACTAAGTGTGGGTTTAATACAAAGTGCAGAAATGCTATAAAGGAAAAGAAATAAAATGTAGGAAAATAGTTCTAATTGTATCCCATTTAATGATTAATTATTTCTACAGTTTGGAAGAGGGAAGTTTCAAGTAACATTTATCAAGTCGATTAAGATCACGTGCATGGAAGAGAGTCTGCAGAGAAGCTATCAAAGGGGAAGGGAGAAGCTATTTAAAATAAGCAATCAGAGAAGCATAATTAAATGTTAGGACAGATAAAGCAAGGACAAATAAAAGGGATAGCTCCTGATATTGACAGTGTGCAGGTGGTACTCCATGAGCTAGCAAAACACGTAGAATTAAACGGGACTTTAAAAAGCTACAGTTTCAAAGATATGGTAGGAAAAACACAGATACAGAAATGGCACTCAGCTGTTGAGATCAGGGGACAGGCAGACCTTCTCAGCTGGTTTATGTTCATGTGTGTGCCAGCATGAACATTCACTTCTGCAGGCATGATTATGAGTGTTGTTTTCTGAACTTTGCTTCAATAAACCAAAGTGTGTTCTGTAAATACACAGCACAATCTGTATATGCTATAAAATGTGTGTGCTGGTTGTCCTCTTTATTATGGTTGTTTCCATTTCTGAGATCAGCTCCTCAGTCCAGAAATGCTTTTACTTTCTATTGCTCTTTTAACCTTTGGACAGCATCTCATATGTATTTATGTCTTGTGCACAAAAGCTGACTGCAGCTATCTGTAATTAATTTGCCAGGCAAAACATCACAAAGAGAAAGGAGTGTTCTCTTCATGGTCTTGCAAGGTTTTTAGGTGTGAGGAAGTATGGTTGCTGTTCAGTGATTGCCAAAGCTTCTACTGCAGTTATGAAAAACATCGTGATTGTGAAGCTGATCAGTGTGTGTTTGCTTCAGGAGGTAAACCAGCAGAGATATCAGGAATCTAATAAATGACATTGCAGCTATTCTCACTTTAGATTTCTTCTCAGTGAGAACAGGAGAGAAATTTATAGAGACCAGTGATAGAAATAGAAAACAAATTTTTTTTAAAAATCAAGAAATTGAAAGTTTGGTGCAAAACACAGTAGGCAGAAACCAAAGGCAGAATGATAAAGCAACTTCTAATATAACCAGCAAGTAAAGGGCGTCCCTAGGACATGTAATATACCATTATTACATGGTTGAGTATCTCAGCAAAAAAGCCTCAAAGGTACAGTTCTAACTCAATTTTGGATACATAGGATTAGCTCATTTTATGGATTTATGAGTCACTTGATCCTTTGCAAGGAAGATAGACTAAGATCCAAAATATACAAAGCACACTATAAAAAAAGACCATTATCCTATAAATTGTGAAGTTTAACAAAAGGCACTTATCATTCATATGATGTTGTTAGTATTTATTTACTGCATTTTATATAAACTGCTGCCATCAGTAGTGTCAGTATTGTGTCAGGGTTTCTGAGACAGATAAAGAGCTTATCTCCTGCACGTATTCTGACTTCACTATTTCCCTGCTCCATTCCCTTGTCTGTCTTTGGGCCTTCAGTGCCATATGTGAAGCCTTTTCCCCATAGGGGAAATAGGAAACATGGGAAACATCAAGTGCTTCGATTCATGCTTTTAAGATTACTCCTTCCTAATGATACATTTTCTGTTCTTTTCACTAGGACATATTTCAAGACATTTGTCCCTCAGTTCCAGGAGGCAGCATTTGCTAATGGGAAGCTTTAGACAGCTTTGGACATGGAAACTATACTGCACAGATCCTTCAGACTGCACATGTCAGCCCAGAAGAATGATGCCTGGAAATGGGTTGGACTGTCTTGACAGGTGTTTTCTTGCCTCTGAACTGGTTCTGATAGCTTCAGTTTTTTAAACAAAAACCTCACTAGCATGCTTAGAACTGAATATTTGCTGTTAGTCCTGCCCCTTTGCCTCTGCCTCCACCATTCCTTTATATATCTATTGGATTAAATTTTAAAGGGCGTGTATTGATATGATAACATTTTCTTGTGCCAACAATGTCCTGTATGTTATGCCTTGTTTCCTTTTCTTCAGATGGTCTAAATTGGATTGTTCTTCCCTATGGAAATATGATGTAATGTGTACATTTAGTTAACATTTTCAGCTTATCCTAAGAAAGCAGAGAACTGCCGTATGTACCGGGAATGCCTAATGGACTGTCCAGTGCCATATTCTGCCTTGGAGGTTTGTGTCTCACTGTGGTTGTTACTTTCATAGATATGGATATGAATTGCACACTTCAATTCTCAGTGCCTTGCCAGTTGGTCTGAAGTTAATATGGCAAAGTGTTTGAAGATTGGGATTTTTTAATACTTTTGTTGAAAGCTCATCTTATGTGAAAGGTTAGGCTTTTACACTTTGTTTTTATTTCCACTTGTATAATTTTGGTGTTTTCCTAATGAGTGCCCCTTCCATTACAAAAAAGTTCTACTTCTTCAGTACCAACATGCAAGTAACTAGTTATTTAAACCAGTATAACAAAATAAAGCTCTTTCATAGACCTGTAATTTTTCCAAATAAGATAAATACTGCTAAGAAGCAAACTTTCAACAAAAGAATGAATTACGTCTTAGAAAATAGCTGATGAAATAATATAGGGATGATGAAATAATATAGGTTTTTAGCTTAATGCTTAAGTTCAGCATATCTTCTCAGAAAATATTTTTAAGTGTATATAACTGGAAACATTACCTCCACTATTTGTGAAATGCCAAATGCAAAATCCTGCCTATTCATCTTTTCTTTCCTGCTTGTGTCAGGCGCACCAGTTGGGACTAATGGTCACGATGTCACTTCCCCAATTAATTTGTGAATAAACCAAGGTACTTTCCAGTAAGGAATAAAATTAACAGAGTATGTTGGCTTATAAATGGTATCTGGAAAATGTGCCCTACTTCTGCTAAATACAAGGAACTAAATAAATCTTATACAGATGATACAGTGGAACTGGAAAACATTTTCTTTTAAATTATACACTATAGCATCACAAGCAAGTCTCGTCAAGCTATTTGATTGGCAGTGTTCTCCTACCCTTTCTACAACTTGTTATTTCACATGAAAAGTAGTGCTTTTCAGGGTTTATATTCACCTAGGAAATACAGATGGGGTTTGTGTAGTGAAGCTTAATAATTAAGAATTATGCAAATAATTCGCCTCTAGAAACTGCAAGTATTTTTAGCTAGTTTGTGGGCAAAATTTAATTTATGTTTAACACTGAAGTTCTTGGCTACAAATTAAGATGCAAACAAAATCTTTATTGTAAGAATAAATATAAGAATAAGAAGTTTTATTGTAAGTCTGCAGAGAAGGCATATTCTGTCCTGTGACCCACTCCTTTGTGAGTCTCAGTACGTTATCTGAGACTGTCACCAGTTTCAAAGGTCTCAGCCTGAATTCCCTCTGTGGAGACATTGCATGAGGCTTTTGCATGCTTGGAGCAGATGTGGAAGGTAATGGTTTTATGGGAATAGCAAAATCATAACTGAACAACCTCATGTGACTAAGAACAAAATATTGTTTCATATACTGGGATGATCTCACATCTACATTTCTTCAGGTAAAAGCCAAAGCTACAGACACATATTCAAGAATAAGCCAACCATGTGAATGGAGTGGTAGAAGAAGGGTGGCTATGAAAAACATGTGTTCTCATAGTGTTCAGAATCTGATAGAAACAATCTCTAGACATCTTCAAAAGGTATAAACCAAACCCTTAGGTTGCATCAGTACATTCCTGGAATCTTGCATTTTATAACTTCATCTTTGATTCAGTGTTGTACTGATTGCCCCATGAACACAGTGTGTGCTTTATATACCTGATTGCCCAAGTGGCATCAGTTATTTATTTTTTTATCTTTGTGGAAGTTACCATACTTGAAAGGCTAGCAATTGCTAAATAGTTTGAAAAGAGGTCCACTTTTCAGAATTTAGATTTATTCTCAGCCAAAAATGCATCCTTCACCTCAGTCCTAGTCATTTTGGACAATGCACTGCTTTATTATTAAAGAGTTTTATAAGCCATGTAAGAAAATATTTTGAGAGTACAAGAAGCCTAAGCCAGCAATTCATTGTGTTGAATTCTACAGTTTCACCAACTTTTCACAACATACATAGAAAACAAATCAATAGTTTCAGTCTAATTTTAATGTCATGCTACAATTGCTAGTATTTTGAAAAAAAAAAAAAAGGTAGAAAAGATGAAAAACTGTACTGTTTATATTTAAGGTAAACCTATCAAATTTCAGAGTAGAAGAAAAGGCATTTTGTTACACTAAATGAACGTTTTCTTAATTTCAAGCTCACCCTTCACTCTTTGACCTGGTATTTTATGGATCCCTTTCTAATAGTTCTCAGAACTATTGGGAGTGTTAGCTCTCAAAAATGGGGTATTGAGAGACACTGAAATGAATGGAAGCTTCTCTCTAGGAAAACTACCATATAAATACTATACCAGAAGAGAGGGTTCATTTGAATAATTTTATATCAAACCAAGCATCCACTGAAGTAGCCATGAAAGTTGGGATCTGATGAATTGGAGTTATTTCTGTTATCTCCTGGTTTATTATAATTTCCATTGTGGCCAGTTTAACGGCACTGAGACTCTCAGCACTTCCTTCCCTATTATGTGATATATGCAGTTGAAGGGAGCAGTCAGACCTAGGCTATTTTCCTTTGCTTATGAGAGCCACAAAACGTAGGAGAAAAACAGCAATATTGCAAATGTATTGAAAAGCCTAAACTCTACACTGTCCTGGTTTTGACTGACAGAATGCAGTAAGTCTTGAGTTACTAAGCCCTACTAATGCACGTTTTTCCAGAGGTCCTTAAATCACAAACTTAGAGTCAAGCCTTCATTCATCTGCATACACAATCTTCTGTCCTAGAAGTAATACCAAACCTTATGGATTCAAAGTCAGATTTTTTGTGAACTTGCTGGAAAGACTGGACAAACAGCTGGAAGAATAAATAAAAGGTAATTATACCATACATTGTTTGGCCTTCATTGATCTTTCCATTGTGCTGGCCACTGCTTTGTTGATTAGTACTTTTCATTTCCTGAATCAGCACATTTTGGTATTGTCACTGTCTTTGAACATCCTTCCATTCATACAGAGAGCAGACTTGAGTCAGTTCTTGAGAAGAGATCATTGCTGGAGTTAGCACAGATCTGTGCATTGTTAGGCCATCCCTAGGGATATTTTTCTGTATTTCCCTTTCTCTCATCCCACCTGGAACCTACAGCACTAAGCATCTTTGGTGAATCAGTCAGCAGATGAGATTTAGCCATGAAGTGCAGTACTTTAAGTCTCACTTCAGGTGGTTTTACACAGAGATTTCTTACCTAGAGAGGATTAAATCTTGAGTACTCTCCATAGAGCAGAGCCCCCTAATACAAGGCTGGCATTTTAGCAGAGCTCAGAAACCTGTGTGAGTGATGAGTGGGCGCTGCAGCTTAGACATCCTTCTGTGCCAGCACCCTTAACCAGAGAAACAATGGAAACCTGTAGCAGCACATGTGGGTCACCAGTGCAGGTCTGAAACATTTCTGGCACCATGTCTGTGCAGCAGTGGCATGGAGATGAGGGGGAGAATTCTTTGGCAGTGCAGAGCGGGAATTTCTCACCTTTCGAGCTTTGTGAGAAGATGTGCTGCAAGGAGGTAGCAAGCTTCGGACACAACTTGTGACCACAATTGTTAATTATGGGATGCTGTTCCTCGCCCTGCCAAGCAAATGAAGTTTGTGACCAAACTGAACTGCCAATGAACACTCTTCCATTAAATTACTTATGTCTCTGTAATTGATGCATTGTAACGCTCATTAAACCTAAAGGTTACTCTTACTTCTTAAACGTTACTGAAAATCCCTGAAGTCATCTCCTTTTCAGTTTTTATTTTCAGGTCTCTGTCCTCTTCTGGGACAATTTTGTTTCATCCTTACTAGTAACTCCTGTTTTTAGCAAACTTGCGTTCTTTCTTTTAACAAGGCAACAAGGTGTATGCCAACATCTTGTGGG